TTGTCTTGCATGGCTGAGTTTCGAATCCTAGAATACATATTTCAGAAAAGCTTCCTTAGTGGAGAGGATTGTGAGGCCTAGAGCCTAGAGCTAAAGCCCTCATTCATATATGACCCACATAACTACATTATTTTGAAATCTTGATTGCAGTGCAAAAAGCTAAAGAAACTAATTTCAAGGCTATAAGAAGCTTTCAATTTTTCAAAACCTGGAGACTTTTGAGAAAAATACCTCAAAGTTATGCAAATATTCATCTAAAATCATCTGAAAATGAAGATATTTGAGAAGCTGAGGCTAGATTGCTCGATGAGACCATGGAAAAGGTGGCTTATTCTAGAGTTGCATCTCTACAGATAAATTTCCTTTAGAGAATTGTTTCTTTTTAAATGTGGATTTAAGCTTCAATGTGACAGCAAACTACTGGGTTTTTTTTAATGGAAAACTCTACTTGGATTGAAGAGGGGCTCACAAGAGATCAGGAATTGAAACTATCAAACCTACAGGAATCTCTTCACACTGGAGGAAGAACTGCAAAAAAGGTGGCAGGCAAAAGTAAAAGTCATTCTAGATTGTACCCCTGATGTCCTACATATTGGTGTTAAACCTCAAGAACTCATTAGTGTGTTGATTGGTTTTGTTTGTGTGTTTTTAGAGACAGTGTCCTTTTTTTTTTACCTTTTGAGACAGAGTCTCACTCTGTTGCCCAGGCTGGAATACAGTGGTCCAATCATAGCTCACTGAAATTCCCAGGCTCAAGCAATCCTCCTGCCTCAGCCTCTAGAGTCACTGGGATTATACCACCCCTGGCCTAATGTTTGTCACTGTATTCTGGTAGGATTCTCCTAGTGAAGCCACTCCCATAATGGTAGGATGTTGCTTCCCTAAAGTATGGTGACCGATCGTTCCAGTTTGCCCAGAACTGAGGGGTTTTCCAGGACACCTGACTTTCCATGGTAAAACTGTGAGAGACATGGTCAAACTGGAGCAATTGGTCACTCTAAGAATGGACCTGAGTTTGAGACCAGCCTGAGCAAGATAGAGACCCTGTCACTACTAAAAACAGAAAGATTCGTTGAGTGTTGTGGTGCGCACCTGTAATACCAGCTACTGAGGAGACTGAGGCAGGAGGATTGCTTGAACCCAGGAGTGTGAAGTTGCAGTGATGATGCCACTGCACTCTAGCCTGGGTGACAGGTGAGACTCTGTCTCAAAAAAAAAAAAAAAAAAAGAATGGAGCTTGCCACTGTCAATCACATGGAAAGAATTTGGAGAGATTGAACCAGAAAAAGAGGATTGGGGCATGTTGGCCTCGGAGAATTGCCTAGAATGAAGAGTAAAGGAGGGAGGGGATAGGAGAAGGGAGAGGAGACTGGTTTCCTTATCTGGGGTTCTTGGTAGTAGAAATCAGGCTTGAACCTACAGTGAGATAACTGTAGCAGTACGAGTCATTTTATTAAGAAATCTAGGAAGAGGGATTAGCAGCCTTGAACAGCCAAAACGATATGCCAGTTGTAGATTTGCTATTGCATTTCTGTTCTGTTCTTTTGTAGCCTGTTATTACTGTGCTGTGGGCTAATGTACTTTAGGCTGGAATTATAAAGGTAGAAACAATGTGGTGATGTAGGAGCAGCCTAGGGAAGGGGAAAGATCCCAGAATAGCAGGAAGCCATGACAGTAGTATGATAGGAGGCTCTCCCCTTTGGAATTATTTATATAAGATAAATTTGCAGTGATGGAATTTATCAATAGATTGAAATGTATGAACATTTTAAGGCTCTAAAATGACAAAGAAATCAGCCCTTTTATAAAAAAGACAGCAGTATACGTAAGGGTAAGAGAAAGTTAACATGTTAACAGAATAATGGATCCTTAATGCTTCTTCACTGGACAAACAGGGAGACCCCCTTCTTAAAACTTAAGGCCGGGCATGGTGGCTCACGCCTGTAATCCTAGCTCTCTGGGAGGCTGAGGTGGGCGGATTGCTCAAGGTCAGGAGTTCAAAACCAGCCTTAGCAAGAGCAAGACTCTGTCTCTACTATAAATAGAAATAAATTAATTGGCCAACTAATATATAGAGAAAAAATTAGGCGGGCATGATGGTGCATGCATGTAGTCCCAGCTACTCGGGAGGCTGAGGCAGGAGGATCGCTTGAGCCCAGGAGTTTGAGGTTGCTGTGAGCTAGGCTGATGCCACGGCACTCACTCTAGCCTGGGCAACAAAGTGAGACTGTCTCAAAAAAAAAAAAAAAAAAATTTGCTAACTTAAGATTTCAAAGTCTATTTTCCCCTCCTGTTTAGTATCCAGATATATCTCTCCTATCTGATAGTCACTAAGGGGAGCTGTAGGTTGTAGTCATATAAAATAATTTTTAAAAGCCTGTGAATTTTGTGTTAGGAAACTGGTGTGTCCCCAGCCCTCTGTATTTTCCCTTCCTTCCTGCATTGCCATCCTTATAATTAACAGTCTTAATTCTGAGTGTGAGATTTCCCATACCCACAACAGTTTTATAAAATCTTGGCAAGATCTAAAAAGCAAAATGGGCCCTAAAGGAATGTGTGTGCACAATGGTAAAATCCTTTGATTTCTTTTTTCTTCTTTTTTTTTTTTTTTTTGACAGAGAGTCTCACTGTGCTGCTTGGGTTAGAGTGCTGTGGCATCTGTGGCATCAGCCTAGTTCACAGCAACCTCAAACTCCTGGGCTCAAGCAATCCTCCTGCCTCAGCCTCCTGAGTAGCTGCGTCTATAGGCACTCGCCACCATGCCTGGCCAATTTTTTCTATATATTTAGTTGGCCAATTTTTTCCTATTTTTAGTAGAGACAAGGTCTCGCTCTTGCTTAGGCTGGTTTCAAACTCTTGATTTTGATTGATTCACCCGCCTCAGTCTCCCAGAGTGCTAAGATTACAGCCGTGAGCCACTGTGCCTGGCCTGATTTCTTTTTTTCTTTTTTTTTTTTTTTTTGAGACAGAGTCTCGCTTTGTCCAGGCTAGAGTGAGTGCCGTGGCGTCAGCCTAGCTCACAGCAACCTCAAACTCCTGGGCTCGAGTGATCCTCCTGCCTCAGCCTCCCGAGTAGCTGGGACTACAGGCATGTGCCACCATGCCCAGCTAATTTTTTATATATATATCAGTTGGCCAATTAATTTCTTTCTATTTATAGTAGAGACGGGGTCTCGCTCAGGCTGGTTTTGAACTCCTGACCTTGAGCAATCCGCCCGCCTCGGCCTCCCAAGAGCTAGGATTACAGGCGTGAGCCACAGCGCCCGGCCCTGATTTCTTATTTTCTTGTCTCCTTCTAACTTACCCTCCATTGCCAGGGAAAGTAACCGTGAATCTCAATCTTTGAGCTGTTTTCAGTTTATCTCGGATAGAGATAAAATCTTAGTATGTCTATTTTCTTTCCAGCCTAGAGTTCACCCTTACCTACCTCTTTTTTTTTTTTTTTTTTTGTGACAAAGTCTCACTCTGTTTCCCTGGGTAGAGTGTAGTAGTGTCATCAAAGCTCACTGCAACCTCCCACTCCTGGGCTCAAGCAATCCTCCTGCCTCAGCCTTCCCAGTAGCTGGGACTACTGGCATATGCCACCATGCCCAGCTAATTTTTCTCTTTTTAATAGAGACAGGGGTCTCACTCTTACTCAGGCTGGTCTCGAACTCATGACCTCAAGTGATCCTCCTGCCTTGGCCTCCCAGAGTGTTAGGATTACAGGCGTGAGCCACCACACGCAGCCTACCCACCTCTTGTATGTCTTCACTACATGACCCCATTTGAATTATGTCTTGTTTTTTATCCCTAAATTAGATTAACTTGCTGTATATCCTTTACATTCCAAAGGGCAGGAAAGCAGCTTTGTCCCTATTCAGGTCATTTAAACCAAAAATGTTTATGGTCTATCTTTTGTATAATTTGGAATTAGTATACCAGTGATGACCCAATATTGTTTTCCCTTGATATATTCTGGGACCTTGCTATCTTGAAACAGCTAAGGGTAAATCTGGAAAACTCCTTTGTTGGCCAGATGGAGTTATGTATGGGAAGATGAGGCTTACATAAGACAGGCAAAATCCTTGACTCCTTCCCAAAACTATGCCAGAAAAAAGCTATAAATCCACACTAAGGACCTCATAAAAGGAAGCCTTCTTAGACACTTATAAAAAGCCCCTGTGGGCAAACCCTTGGCAGTTTGGAAATACAGACCCTGATCCTTCCCTAAATCATTTTGGGAAAAGTGTAACTATGGACTGGAAAAATCCTGGCCTATAAAAATACACACCAAAAGGAGATAAAGGTATAGATTCAAAGAGTTACCTCATGGAATTATTAGAGAATAAAATTCTCCCCGTCACAAACACTCCAAGCCAATATTCAGTTAATTCAGCACTTAGATTATTCTTGGTGTGCAAATAAACACACGTGAAATTGGTTTTGAAATCTCTCCAAGACTGTCCCTCCCACTCAGTCTTCATGTCACCATCTAGTGAGTTGTGAAAAACCCCAATTTTCCTTAAATGTAGTTATTATGTAAGGCTAAAATGCGAGGCACTAGGCACTTTCCATGATCATACTTCACCTTGCCACTTATGATACATGACTGGCAGTAACCCTTTCTTGATGCAATACACACAATACAATCAAAATTTTATTACTACTTGGATAACTGTGGTAATTAAAAGAAAAAAATCAAAACTTTACAGGAAAAAAACCCCAATCAAGAGACTTAAAAAGGAAAGACCATGAGAATTAAAACATTGCCTTATGAAGGAGACAAAGGAAGCTTGGGTCACAAGTTAAACTTTAAAAGAAAAAAAATGTAACAGGGAACCTCTACTGCACAATGAATAAAGTTCCCAGTCAACTCTTCCTTGTCCTCTCCCATATCAACAACATCCCTCTACATATTAAGTGCAACCTCCTGTCAAAGGGATCCATTCTTCATAGAGTAGGATAATTATGGAAAATAGCATTTGGAGTGGAAATAAACAACAGATAATAATCCATAATTGTTTTTAATCTTGAGGATGAGTCACCCTCAATTTATTTCCAAATTTCTTCTGTCATCAGCTGTTCATTTCTTTACTTTGAAAATCACCAGATTAACACTGCCAAAGGCAAGGTAGGAAATGATCCAAGAGGACAATTCAGAGGCATCACATGGTGAGAAACTGGAAACAAGACAGTCCTCAGGAAAATCTTTTGTCCCAGCAAAGGCACCAAAGTGTAAACCTAATTCACACTTTCATTATTCCAATCAGGTTATTTTTACATCAGTGTAATTTTAGAATAAGACTTGCTGGGGGATTATTTCCTGGGCAATTCTGTCCATCACTCTGCATATAGGATATCCAAGGTCTAACTCCAGAGGTCATTTCAAACCAAGAAATTATATTCTTTTTACTTCTCCTTAATACTTTCACATGTCTTCTTTATTCCCTAAATCTTCCTTCTGTACAAGAAATTTCAAAACAGAATGACCAAACAGAAATGCTAACATCATAAGAAATGTGATCCAGTTAGATGTGAGCTGTCTAAACTTGGGTGAATCATCTATGCTTATCAATCTATCAGGGTGCTTAGAGCCCTTGTAAAGTGTAAGCTTGCTATTTTATCCATATCTATTGTTTTCTTTAAGCTGATTGGGTTCTTAAACCCATTTAGCCTCTAACTCTGACTCAGGGTTGGAAATAGAAGACTGGAGTCCAGATGTTCACCCTACGAATGAGGTCTAAATCACAGTCCAATTATTGCAGACAGGCTAAAAATGGAGGTTTAAGGCTGTCTGTCCTTAACATCCTCTTAAAAACACAAAGCTGCAAACTTGAATTAGTAGCCATTTACCTATTTCAGAAGACCATTCCCAACTCAAATTCACTCTTCACACTTAACTGGGGGCAGATGCCTATATAGGCAACAAAGTAGAAAAACTAAAATATTACCCAAATAATTCAGAACAAACAAATATTGTTTTCATTTGAAATCTATAGACAATTGAAACCAAAAGAAGTGTTTTGGCTATTTGCTGTTTTCTTCTTTACTATGACTTAGTAGGCACAATCATAAATGTTTGCAAACAATGAGCTTTCAAGTGAATGATGCTCAACCTGGAGTTCATTGGATAGTAGGGAATCATTATCTTGGTTTTGGTTTACTTAATATATTTGTAAATTAATCAAGATGTTCTGGCATAGCCTCAATCCTTCTAAAACACACAGATTAAATGTCAATTTATGACAAGTGTTCGCACACTCACTTATGCTACATGATGGAACTGTGTGGAAGATGGTATGGGGGAAAGTTTGTCACAACTCCTTCTAGGAAGTCTTCCTCCTCCCCGTCAACATTAGCTAAAATGAGTGAGCATCAGCTCCTGACGGATACGGTCAGCCTCTAAGTCCAGGGACTCCATGTGCTCATACTCTTCCTCAGGGGGCTGTTCCATGGGTCCTGTCATTGGAGAGGACCAAACATCCATCCCATGCTCTAGGGAGATGTTGTGGAGGACACAACAAGCCAAGATGATATGGCTGGACTTTTCTGGTGAGTACTGCAGTGCCCCCTTGGATCCATCCAGGCAGCGAAATCGGGAATAGAGGGTTCGGAAAGTCTTCTCAATCACACTATGAGTTGCAGAATGGGCCATGTTATAGCGATATTCTGCTGGAGTTTCAGGAATATGAAGTGGTGTCATGAGCCAGGTGCGGAGAAAGAAGGAACTGTCACCTGTGGGGAAGTCCAAAAAAAATCATAAATGATTATAAATGGAATACAAGCAAGAAACAAAATTCAGAAAACATATCCTAAGGATGGACAAGAAAATACAACAGCCTCTGGAGCCGAAGCACACACAGACAAAAAACCAAGAGGAAAATGCTGTGGTAAAAAGAAAGTACACCAACGTCAGGAGCAGGAAGACATGAGTCTTGGCTGAGAATATCTTTGGTAAAAAAACCAACAGAGAAAAAAGCTGATAGCTATAAAAGCCAAATCTGGACAGGCACAGTGGTTTACACCTATAATCCCAGTGCTTTGAGAGGCCAAGGTGGCAGGATCGCCTGATGCTAGGAGTTCCAGACCAGCCTGGGCAACATAGTCACAACCAATCTCTAGAAAAAAATAAAAAACTTAGCTGAGCATGGTGGTGAATGCCTGTAGTCCCGGTTACTTGGGGAGGCTGAGGCAGGGGGATTACCTGAGCACAGGTGTTAGAGGTTACAGTGAGCTATGATCTCACCACTTCTCTCCAGCCAGAGAGATAAAGTGAGACTTGTCTCTGAACAGAAAAGGAGGGGGTGGGGCCTTGCGGCCCTGCAGCCTCCTCAAGCTCAGTCCCCTCCCAATATAAATAAAAAAAATAAAAATAAATAATAATAAAAAAAAGAAAGCTAAATCTGAAAGAATGTAGGAAGGAAGTGATGGTACTGGAGGAAATAAAATTCTTGGATTTGCCAAATTCAGAGATATTGTTGTTTAAGAAAAGGCTTAATAAAAACTATCGGCTGGGCGAGGTGGCTCATGCCTGTAATCCTAGCACTCTGGGAGGCCGAGGTGGGCGGATTGCGGTCAGGAGTTCGAAACCAGCCTGAGCAAGAGCGAGACCCCATCTCTACTATAAATAGAAAGAAATTAATTAGCCAACTAATATATATAGAAAAAATCAGCCGGGTATGGTGGTGCATGCCTGTAGTCCCAGCTACTCGGGAGGCTGAGGCAGCAGGATTGCTTGAGCCCAGGAGTTTGAGGTTGCTGTGAGCTAGGCTGATGCTATGGCACTCACTCTAGCCTGGGCAACAAAGTGAGACTCTGTCTCAAAAAAACTCAAAAAACTATCAAATAGCATGCTAATCTTCAAAATGTCTAAGGAGCAGGAGAGAAAAAGATAATTCTGTCAGAAGATTACAAAACACTTCTAAGGAAAATTTCTAACATTACCATTAAAATTTCAGATGTGAAACCACTTCCTAGAGATTTCAGAGTATTTCATGGACAATAATAATCCACCCAGTGCTGAGAAGAGTAAAAATCCCAGCATTTGTGTTATGGCAAAAACCAGAACTCAGGTGTTCTGCCTTCCCATGTATCACAATTAATAGAGTCATGACTTGCAACAGAAGAACCAGAAGAATTAATGTCACATTAATAAGGAAAGCATACAAATAATGATCCAAATAGTAATAGTCAATGATAAGAAAATGAAATTAGAAGTCAAATAAAATACTACATGCAAGGCATTCCCCTTAAGTGATATTCTCATCAAATGATCCTAGGAAGTGCTAACAAAAACAAGAAAAATTGGGGAGCAATGTCCTAACACAACAGCATATGTCTATGTTAAATTGTCCTGTCTCATACAGAGACACAACCTCTTAGATATGTGAGACAGAGGAATAAGCCCTGGAGTACCAACTTGCACAATCAGTATCACCTGACTCACCATCAATTTTAATAAATAGTTCTAGACTGTTCAGACAGTGGTAGGCACTGCTCCAAACATATAAGACTCATTTTTTTTTGGAGCTGATATTTCTTCCTTTCTTTTTTTTTTGAGACAGAGTATTGCTTTGTCATCCTGGCTAGGATATAGTGGCATGATCATATTAACATCTCAGTGCAACGTCAAACTCTTGGGCTCAAGCAATCTTCCTGCCTCAGCCTCCTTAGTAGCTGGGACTATAGGCATGTGCCACAATGCCTGGCTATTTTTTTATTTTTCTGTTTTTTTAGTAGACATGGGGTCTTGCTCTTGCTCAGCATGGTCTCAAACTCCTGAGCTCAACCAATCCTACTGCCTTAGCCTCCCAGAGTGCTAGGATTATAGGCATGATCCACCACCCCTGGCCAGCACTTTTTAAATATTATCTCTTATTACCCAATCCCAACTATGTTAGGTTAGATATTGAAATCATTTTACAATTAATAAGATCAAAATATATGTTAGCCATCTTTTGATATATGAGGCAAAGGAAGAAGCTAGTCACTAAATGCTAAAGTCAGACTCAGAATTCTAAAACAATGGTGTAATGTGGTAAAACAGAATAAGATAAGCATCTAAAATGAATGCTAAAACATGGAGATGCTGAATAGTATTTGTTAAAGTTTCTCTAGAAAACAATGTGAACCTTAAATTGTGCAGACACACAGGGCAAGCTAGTTACAAAAGGTAGACCTTTTGTAAAAATGCTCTATGGTCACTAACTCGTTATAATCCAAGTAGTAGTGGAAAACAGACACTCAAGAGGGGATTAGGATCAAAATTGCTAAACAGATTACAATTGCTTATGTGATCAGTCATCCAAAAGACATTCTGGCAGATCTTACCCAAAGCTGCTTAAAAGGACTAGGCCAAGAGCTGAAGAACTAAGGACTCAGGCTGAACTGTTTGCAGGAACAGGTATATTTAGAGGAGGGGAATTTAAGTAATGCACTCTGAAGGGACAAATGAGAATAAAGACAAGGAGGGATGATACCTTAGGTGAAAATGTTAAAAGACAGGGGAGATCACAGCTAGTTCTAGGTTTAACAAATCTAGAACTATTCCACAAATCTGATGGTGTTCTTAAAATAAATTCAGCCATACCTTTTCTTTTAACATCATCATTCTTATAATCCTGCCAATCTTCCCCTAATTACCCCCTGTCCACATATCCTCTAGAGATCAGTGTTTTCCAAATTTGTCTATTCATACGAATTTAGTGGCTTGATCATAGCTTACTGCAGCTTCAAACTACTGTGCTCAAACGATCCTCCTGCCTCAGCCTCCTGAATAGCTGCATGCTGCATGCACCACCATGCCTGGCAAATTTTTCTTATTTTTTTTTAGAGATAGGGTCTTATTATGTTGGCCAGGCTGGTCTTAAACTCCTGGCCTCAAGTAATCTTCCTGCCTCAGGCTCCTGAGCCACTGGGATTACAGGAGTGAGCCACCAGTGCCCGGCAATAATGTATATATTTTTTAAATTCCCCAGATGATTCTTGATTTTGAAAATTTGGGTAACACTATAATAGTAAGTGGTCTTCAAACTCGTTTTCCTGCTGGAGCTCATGGAGACTTTCTAAAGTGTATGCACTAAAACTGATAGTACTAAGAAAATCAATTCCCACATCTTCAACTTCCACTGGTATACTTTCCTAACTTCTTAGTGCCTATCATGTGGCCTGTTATTGAAATTGGCCTTCATAAACATCTATTAAATGTTGCCATATCCACCTCTCCCACTTCCACTCTTTCTGTAGGGAGGGGAATCTGAAAAGCATATAAAAGTTTGTTAGAGTTTTGGTTTTTTTACATGTGCATGACTGTGCATGTAAAAAATTTGTTAGGGTTTTTACTGATTTTCAATTACATTCTGTAAACAATGTAAAAATTACTTTAAAGCCATAATTCCAACTGAATCTGGAGTCCCATGGTGTGAAGGGGAAAAAAAATCAGTGCCTCTTATGTGACCTTTAAGTCCTTAACAAAAGAAATATTTACCATATAGGGTAACTCTTCATATGATCTTGTTTAAAAACTTAAACATAAGTGATTTGATATTCTTTGCTCCGGTGTCCTCTTTCATAAAAATGTTAATATTATTTAACTCTTAAGAGTTATTATAGGCCGGGCGTGGTGGCTCACGCCTGTAATCCTAGCTCTCTGGGAGGCTGAGGCGGGCGGATTGCTCGAGGTCAGGAGTTCGAAACCAGCCTGAGCAAGAGCGAGACCCCGTCTCTACTATAAAATAGAAAGAAATTAATTGGCCAACTAATATATATACAAAAAATTAGCCGGGCATGGTGGCGCATGCCTGTAGTCCCAGCTACTCGGGAGGCTGAGGCAGGAGGATTGCTTGAGCCAGGAGTTTGAGGTTGCTATGAGCTAGGCTGACGCCATGGCACTCACTCTAGCCTGGGCAACAAAGTGAGACTCTGTCTCAAAAAAAAAAAAAAGTAAAAAAATATAAAATAAAATAAAAAAAGTAAAAAAAAAAAGAGTTATTATAAACATTGACATAATCCATGTAAAGTGTTTACAACATTATCTGACAAATTCTAAGTGCTCAATAAGTTTTAGCTGGCTTTATAGTTAGGGTACCAAAGAGATTAGCTTGAAACCCAAGTACTTCCATAGCTGTGGAAGCAGCCATCAAATGAGACACTTATGAAACAGACTTTCCTTCACTTGTTGGTGTGAGCTGTATGAAAATTAAATTTAAAAGCTCAAAGTAAGCACAAGGTGTAATTAAGATAAAGGTCAAGCAGGATAGAGAAGGTAGTGCTCTGAAAATGGTATGCAGAAGCAACATCTCAAGAAAATCAGTAAGTTCCAGGAGTTATACATGGCATCCGGGCATCTCTAAACCCATTAGTGTGACAGCAATCTCTGCCCACTTGGAACACAGGTTTTTCTTTAAGGTACCAGTAAGGGCTGGGTGCAGTGGCTCACGCCTGTAATCCTAGCACTCTGGGAGGCTGGGGTGGGAGGATTACTTGAGCTCAGGAGTTCAAGACTAGTCTGAGCAAGGGCAAGACACTATCTCTACTAAAAAATAAATAAATAAAAATGAAAAAAAAAAAAAAAGGTCCCAGTAAGTACACCAGTAAGTACATCAAAGAGAAATACTTCTTGAGTGTAAAGCATGGTGAGCATGTGCAGTGTAGATATGATTAGTGGTCTTGCTAGAGAGGTCTTCTAATCCTAAATGTAGCTTTTCATCTCTCACATCATATGTTGTATATGAGATAACCCTTGTCCTGATGCTCACTTAAGAGTAGCACTTAAAAAAACCAAGCTGCCAGGCTCAAGGGTTTTATCACTATTAACTAATTGTATTCCTTACAGCTATACAGTCACCTTAGTTCACACTGCTTAATACTGAATGGATTCTTTTCCTACTCATATGACTAAGCCAGGCCTTCCAATGGAACTCGGGCAGATCTGTGAAGTGACTGTCTAAAATAAGAATTGTAAGTGCATTGTCTACTATCATTTTCATATAGATATCATGGTGACAATCACCAATGGCAAAAATAACACCTTACCTTTGTATATTTACACAATACTTCACAGTGAACTTTCATATATATTATCTAATCCTCACAATAAGTGTTATTGCTGTTGGTGTTATTTTCATCATTTTACAGATGATAAAAATTAAGCCTCCATCATATGGATATATGATATTTAATCAGTTCTATACAGTACTGATAGGTACTGTGGCTGTATTTAAGGGGATTGCTTTTATAGGGTTGTTTTTGTTGCTGCTATTGTTTGCAATGCAAATTCTTGTATACAATTTTATTTTGCCTAAGTATAAACATGTACCCCTGAGATAAACTCTTAGAAGTAGAAGAGTTGGGTCAAATAATATCAAACAATTTTTAAGAGATAGGGAAGGCAGGAGGATCACTTAAGCCCAGGAGTTTGAGGTTGTAGTAAGCTCTGATGACAACACCGCAATCTAGCCCAGGAGACAGAGTGAGACCCTGTCTCAAAAAAAAAAAAAAAAAGACTGTGAGGCCCTTTCCACAAGTGGTTCGGTGACACTGGCAACATGAGGACTCATAGAGGCCTGACTGATTCCAATAGCATCTCCCATCTGAGTCTGGAAGGAACCTGAGGTAGAAAAGCCCAAAAGAAGGGTCTTGCTGTGTTGCCCAGGCTAGTCTAGAACTCCCGGGCTCAAGGAATCCTCTTGCCTCACTAGCTGGGGTTATAGGCACATTTCACCATACTGACTCAAATATGTTTTTATTTATTTATTTATTTTTGAGATAGGGCTAGAGTGCCGTGGTGTCAGCCTAGCTCACAGCAACCTCAAACTCCTGGGCTCAAGCAATCCTACTGCTTCAGCCTCCTGAGTAGCTGAGACTACAGGCATGTGCCACCGTGCTCCGGTAATTTTTTCTATATATTTTTAGTTGTCCAAATAATTTCTTTCTATTTTGAGTAGAGACGGGGTCTCGCTCTTGCTCATGCTGGTCTCAAACCAGCGAGTGATCCACCCCCCTTGGCTTCCCAGAGTGCTAGGATTACAGGCATTAGCCATGGTGCCTGGCCCCAAATATATTTTTAAATTTTAATAAATGTCTTTTGAATGTTGATTTTAAAAAATTAAGGCTCAGAGAGTTCTTACCTGAGGCTTCATAAAAAGGTGCAGGACTGAGACTCAGGTTTACAGACTCCCATATTTCATTCTACTCCACAATATAATTTTTCTGTGGTTACAAAGTGAAAATTTACACCTGCAGACTCACCAAGAAACCAGCTATCTTTGTGCATCCCGGCTTCAAACCGACTACTCAGAGAAGACTGCTGCAGTACAGCATAGTCCTGTAGGCTGCCTGGCCAGTTTGTCTCCACAGTCATTAGTGCTCCTCTGATGTCACACACCATCAAGCAATTTAAAGAATGCAGACCTTTGCGGTTTACATAGGAGAGGTCTTCAGCATTTGGTGCCTTGATTGCCACATGGATACAGTCAACCACCCCTATCACCCCTGGCATCCCTGCCAAACCATAGAATTCATCCTTCAGAGCCTGCATGGAAGCTTCATCAGCTGGAAAGTGAATGAACTGTGAGGCCCTCTCCACAAGTGCTTCGGTTACATTGGCAACACAACGACTCATAGAGGCCTGACTGATTCCAATAGCATCTCCCATCCGAGTCTGGAAGGAACCTGAGGTATAAAAGCCCAATGCTGCAAGGATCTGTGTCTCTGGGCTAATAGCCCTGGATCGCTGAGTAGGTCTAGATAGGCTTGCCCCCAGGAGCTCCACCAAGTAATAAATAAAATGTCGAGGAAACCCATACATGGACATCAAGTATTCATCAGTCACATCATCCAGCTTAAAGCGGTCCAATGTCCGGTGACCTCGGCCATACAGTAAGAGATCACAGTCAAGCACTGTTATTGGTATAGCCATGGTAAATATGAATGCTGTCTCTCCTTTTCTCTACTTTTGCTGAATTCCTCCCAGTGAAGATGTTGGTGCAAGAAGGTATTAAGAAAGTATCAGAATTCAACAGCCAACCATCAGTTAAATGGCTCTGTCATTTATAATCTTCTCACTGTAAAGGTTAAAAGAAAAAACATTATAAATCTACCAAAGACTTTAAAGTGACTCAAAGGCTACAACAACTCCTTTTCTTCAACTTTCCATTTTGTTGAGGCAAAAGGTGCTGCGCTTGTAACTCCGGGTTCTTCTCCACTAACTCATGGCTACACAACAGGCTTGCTTTGGTCTGAAGGATAATGGGAATTCAATCTCGGTGGCTCATTTAATGCCTGGCATTTTAACTGAGAACAGCAAAAGATTAATGGAGTTGATGGCATAATTATTGACAAGGTAAAAGAGGTCTGCTCCTAACTATACAGGCCACGAAGCAGCTGACATAAGTCACAACTACCTTGGAAAAGGATTAGTCACGGTTTCATTATCCAAAGCCCTCGGGCTCCACCTGATAAGTAAGGGACAGATGTTGGGGTGCTCAAACCAGTCTAACAAGGAATCGGGGAGAAAATAAAAGTCCATAACCCAGTTTGGTGGGCGTACACTGTGTGCTATGACAACAGGCTTTCCCCTCGTCCCAAAAAATCAAAATCGTGTGGCTGAGGGCTAAGAAGTAGGAAAGACCAGACAGGTTGTAAGGAAGGAGCGAATAAAGCTGAGAGGCAGGTTTGGAAGATGCCTTAAAAATGGATACCGAAATCTCCGCTGGCCACTCAAAGTCAGCCAGGACCAGTCACCCACCTCTCCGCAGCGGCCACGTTTCCAGCCGCACCCCCAACCACCCAGCCCAGTCCGGACCTCCTCCGGACCAGACGACGGCATACAGACCGTCACGGCACGCAACAGAGGCACCGCCTTCCCTCGCTTCAGCGCCCGCCCCTCGCCGCGTCCTCACTGCCGCCGCCGCCGGGATCTGCGCTTCGCTGTCGCACATTCTACACGCGGCCCAAACAGTCTCGCTCTTTCAAATATCCCTCTTTCTGCCTTTCTTTTCTCCTGAGGCGCTTGAAAAAATTGGAGAAGGCTTAAATAGAAAAGAAATCAACTTTCATGGAGATTTCGAGGATTTAAAAGACTAAATATGACGTCCACGTTGCAGCGAAAGTGCATGTGCCATTAGGCAATTGGATTTACCCTGTAGCCTTCTTTCTCCCCTCCCACCCCCCCGCCTTCACTGAAGCGGATGAAAACAAACAGTGACGATGGCGGCTCCAGGAAGCTACCGGCTGTTGGGCTTAAGGCAGGAGTGATCTCTTGACCAGAGAGGGAAGCCCTGAAGAGCGCCGGTCGACGGCAGTGCGACAAATCGCGCAATCTTGGGAGCAAAACGCCCGAGGCCTGGAGCCAGGAGCCTTCTGAAACGTGAGGTATCTGTCTGCGACCTGTGCTGTCACTGCAGCCCGGAGCGCGGAACCCTCAGCCGGCGGCGCGGCTGGCCGGCCCCAGGCTCGGGCCTTCGTAATGAGAGCCCAGAGCCTCTCTCTGTGCCGCCGCTTCACAGGTACTAATTTTGGGGGGATACCCCAATTCTCTCAGCGCCCCCGGCTGGGAGGCTATGGATCTGCGGCCCGTCGGATGCCTCCTTGTGGAAGCCAAAGCCGACTGGCCGCGATTGGGTCCCCTGAGCCCTTGTGTTATCTTGGGGAAGTCGGGTTGGTGTAGGCCCGATTGGTCCTTGATTGTTCCCGGTCCTTACAGAGAGTCCCAGAACATTCCTCTCTGCTTTCTCAGCTCTTTGGGCTAGGTTGTAAGGCTTTTTGGAAATAACTTTAGGCTTTTTAGGCTTTTGGGTCCTAACACCGAGGTTGGCTACCAATATGAGTGAGGTTGGTTTTCATTCAATCAAGATTTGTTAAGTGCCAGATATGTACTCCACGTGTAGGTGAGGGAGAATGTTGACTAGTGAAAAAAAGTACCTAAAGTTCGAGACTATCTTCTTACTGGTAGTGGAACGACCTGTGGAAACCTGCGATCCGTTCTCATTAAATTAATCTCTGGGTAAGTGGCTTACACCATTATTTCTTGGGCTCGATCACGTAAAACCATCTCTACGTTTTCACTTTCCCAGGTAGACTGGTAAATTTGATGTGGCATTTCACTTAGTATTTCTTCCTTTTCTGGCCATCCCACTGCCAAAAGAGATAGAGGTAGAGAAATTAACGAAAAACAGAACTAATTTTCTCATTATGCTTAACTTAAAACTCATCTCCTAAAGTGGTAGAATTTATCGGACATCTTTAGTGGGATATATGCAGTAATGAGTAACAACTGACCCTTTTTTTACACTAAATTTACTTCCAGAATTTGGTGGTGTTTTATGAGTGTAAGTCCTTTTCATGTATAGATATTGTGGCTCCAACTAAATTATAAGTTTTTTCATTTCCAACTCTACTTTTTTTTTTTTGAGACAGTCTCACTTTGTTGCCCAGGCTAGAGTGAGTGCCGTGGCATCAGTCTAGCTCACAGCAACCTCAATCTCCTGGGCTCAAGCAATTCTACTGCCTCAGCCTTCCAAGTTGCTGGGACTACAGGCATGCACCATCATGCCTGCCTAATTTTTTCTATATATATCAGTTGGCCAATTAATTTCTTCCTATTTATAGTAGAGACGGATCTCGCTCTTGCTCAGGCTGGTTTTGAACTCCTGACCTTGAGCGATCCGCCTGCCTTGGCCTCTCAGAGTGCTAGGATTACAGGCGTGAGCCACAACGCCCGGCCCCAACTCTCCATTTTTTAGTTCTGGATACATCTTATAAATGCTTCTTGTGGAATGGAATACTGACTTTTTTTTTTTTTTTTTTTTTTTTTTTTTGAGAGATTGTCTCACTCTGTTGCCTGGGCTAGTGAGGTGGTATCAGCCTAGCTCACAGCAACCTCCAACTACTGGGCTCAGACGATCCTACTGCCTCAGCTTCCTGAGTAGTTGGGACTATAGGCATGCACCACCATGCCTGGCTAATATGTTCTATATATTTTTAGCTGTTCAATTAATTTCTTTCTATTTATAGTAGAGACGGGTCTCGCTCTTGCTCAGCTGGTCTCGAACTCCTGAGCTAAAGCAATCTGCCCACCTCAGCTTCCCAGAGTGCTAGGATTACAGGGGTGAGCCAGGCACCCAGCTGAATACTGACTTTTAATACATTTAATACATAATGATGAGTTAAGCGCTGAAGCCACATATACTAATCTGTAGTGAGATATAGTTAATTGATGCACTATTTCCACTTTGTCCCACTTTGGGTATAAAGTTAAAAAGGGTATGGCAACTCTTGAGATTTAAGTTTCACAAAAATTGCAAATCACTGGGTTTTCCATTACTGTATTTCAAACTAATAGATTATATTGTGTGTTTGTGGGGGTTTTTTTCCTCAGGAGTAGTTTTTTGTTTGTTTGTTTTTGTTTTTTTTTGAGTCAGAGTCTCACTCTGTTGCCTGGGCTAGAGTGCCATGGCATCAGCCTAGCTCACTGCAACTTCAAACTCCTGGACTAAAGCGATCTTCTTGCCTCGGCCTCTGGAGTAGCAGGCCAGGACTACAGGTGTGCCCCACCATGCCCAGCTAATTTTTTTTTTCTTTTTGTTTTTTTGATTAATTGGAGAAAAAGATACAAATTTATTTACCATGTACACACAAGAGCCTTCAGAATGAAAACTCCTAATTTTTCTATTTTTAAGTAGAGACGGGGTCTCACTCTTTCTTGCTCAGGCTGGTCTGGAACTCCTGACCTGAAGCAATCCTCCCACCTTGGCCTCCCAGGGTACTAGGATTACAGGCGTGAACCATCACACCCAGCCAGGAGTAGTTATTAAAATTGGAGCAAACACTGCAGATCTTCAGCTACTAAACATTCCAAATTATATTGTTTTGATTAAGGGCTAAGAGTCAGCTGGACATAGTCAAGTCTGATGGATCATATAAACATACTGGAATTGTATTGTATGGAGGTAGGAGCAGGAACTCCGTTTTCTATTTCTCATTGTCCTTTTCCTCCCTCACCCACTCACATGCATTAGCTTGTGACCTCCATGACTCAGTTCAGGGTGTCCATAGCCTAAATGCAAAAGAAGCCTAAAACATAAATTTGGGGGCTTCCAAACACCCAGAACTTACTATATAAATGATTTGTTTCATGGGTAATTTTGATCACACCCACTTTAGAATTTATTACACCTGCTTGATAAGGTATATTTCTAATACTTAGTAATTATGTTATGCTCAAGTGGGAGTGGAAGGTATTTATTTCAGAATCTTCACCTGGAGAGAAGTTATTTAACCTTTAATACCTAGAAATCCCTAAAATTATAATTTTTTTTATTTTAGTGTATTATGGGGGTACAAATGTTAAGGTTACATATATTGCCCATGCCCCCCCCCCTCGAGTAAGAGCTTCAAGCGTGTCCATCCTCCAAACGTCACACATCTTACTCATTGTGGTTGTATATATACCCATCCCCTCCTCCCCACTCCCACCCTCCCGACACCCAATATATGTTACTCCTATATGTCCACTTAGGTGTTGATCCGTTAATACCAATTTGCTGGTGAGTACATGTGGTGCTGATAAATATTAAAAATTATAATTTAAAAAAAACCTAAAATTATGATTTTTAATATTTATCACCCTTTTAAACACTTTATTATTGAAGAGATGAATAATTACATTCATAACATTGTGGCTAGAGTGCTGGTTAGATTACAGAGAGTGAAGAATACACCCCCCAAAAATTCCTCACACTTACAACCACGACCTTTTGTTATTATTCAATGTTAGTGGGGTTTTTTGGTTTGTTTTTTGTTTTTTTTTTTTTTTTTTTGTGAGACAGAGTCTCACTTTGTTGTCCAGGCTAGAGTGAGTGCCGTGGCGTCAGCCTAGCTCACAGCAACCTCAAACTCCTGGGCTTGAGTGATCCTTCTGCCTCAGCCCCCCGAGTAGCTGGGACTACAGGCATGCGCCAACATGCCCGGCTAATTTTTTATATATATATCAGTTGGCCAATTAATTTCTTTCTATTTATAGTAGAGACGGGGTCTCGCTCTTGCTCAGGCTGGTTTTGAACTCCTGACCTCGAGCAATCCGCCCGCCTCGGCCTCCCAAGAGCTAGGATTACAGGCGTGAGCCACAGCGCCCGGCCTTGTTTGTTTCTTTTGAGACAGAGTCTTGCTCTGACCCCCAGACTAGAGTGCAGTGGCCTTATGATATCTCCCTGCAACCTCAAACTCCAGTGCTCAAGCAATCCTCCTGCCTCAACCTGAGTAGAGTAGCTAGGTCTACAGGTGTGTGACACCACGCCCAGCTAATGTTTTTCTATTTTTAATCGCGATGGTTTCTCACTCTTTCTGAGGCTGATCTTGAACTCTGAGCTCAAGCAATCCTCCCACCTTGGCCTCCGAGAGTCCTAGGATTACAGATGTAAGCCACCATGCCTGGTCTGGTTTTTTTTTTCTTTAATGGATCAAAAGTATAGGGACTCAGTGATTAAGAAATACAGACTATGGCCGGGCGCGGTGGCTCATGCCTGTAATCCTAGCTCTCTGGGAGGCTGAGGCAGGCGGATTGCTCAATGTCAAGAGTTCGAAACCAGCCTGAGCGAGAGCGAGACCCCGTCTCTACTATAAATAGAAAGAAATTAATTGGCCAAGTAATATACATATAGAAAAAATTAGCTGAGCATGGTGGTGCATGCCTGTAGTCCCAGCTACTCGGGAGGCTGAGGCAGCAGGATTGCTTGAGTCCAGGAGTTTGAGGTTGCTGTGAGCTAGGCTGATGCCATGGCACTCACTCTAGCCTGGGCAACAAAGTGAGACTCTGTCTCAAAAAAAAAAAAAAAAAGAAAAGAAAAAAGAAATACAGACTAGACCAGGTGTGGAGGCTCATGCCTGTAATCCTAGCACTCTGGGAAGCTGAGATGGGAAGATTGCTTGAGCCCAGGAGTTTGAGGTTGCTGTGAGCTAGGCTGATGCCACGGTATGCTAGCCCAGGCACCAGAGGAAGACTCTGTCTCATAAAGAAAAAAGAAATGCACACCGTTCATCTAGTATTTTAGGTACTATATTGCTTACGATTTTATTGACTTGTATGTTGACTTGAGAGTCTTAAAGTGTACACTTTAGTAAAGGAGTGTAGTCTTGAATAAAGCTTACCTAAACTTTATGTGTAGATAACTTGAAAGTTTTCCAACATAGGGCATTGGGAGACGAATTTCCATAAGCCACGATTTCTCATGTATGGATTTAATGGAGGAAAGACCATAGAGTTGCTGGTCATTGCTTCCTTTCTAATTGTGAAAGCTAATAAAATCTGCAAGAAGTCTCTGATAGGGGAGAGGCACTGTAGCCAAGAAGAATGCAAAGGAGGCTGTATAGTCCTCTCTGCCTAGGGGGACCTAAGAAACCTTTCTAAAGTTTGGGTTTTAAATCTCTAAAAGGATTTTAAATCCCTTTAAGGATTTAGAATTGTTAGCCACTTTTATCTATAAAATAGACGTGGGCCAGATTATTAGAG